TCTGTGTATAGTTGCTGCAGTGATGAAGACTGATAAATATTTTGCGTGTCTCCTTTCTCTGCAGGGTTTGAGCCTTTTGGTGAGCATGCAGTGAACTCCAGCTGGGTGGCAGTGCAGGTGATCATGACCCTGGGTGTACATTTTCACCTAATGTGTTGGTTACATGCTTGTGTTCTCAAGGCGTTAACTAAATGTGGCAAAAATCGAGCGTCTTGTAATTTGCATTGTTGTAGTTTTCATGCATTTTGTTTTCCTTGTTATTGTTTATTACGGGGTGGTTTAGCTCTCTTAGACCACAAATAAGAGTTACATGTTTGTTTTATTTGCTTTTAGGAACTGGAAAAATTAGGTCTGGGTGGAGCAGTGGACCTTCATGTTTGTGAGGTTCCTGTTGAATACCAAGCTGTCCAGAGCCTGCTGCCATCTCTGTGGAGCAAACACCAGCCACAGGTATGAGAAAAGAACACAATTGTGTGAATATAGTCAGATATTTACTTGGGGCGTGAGAAAATACTGACACAAATATTTCTAAAATATGTATTTAGATACTGCACTGATTCTTAAAAACAGTAAATAGATTAACCTTCTTTCTACAGATAGCTGTGTTTTCACTGATAACTTATTTTTTCCTTAAAATGAACAGAAAGTAGGGCCGTGAAGTTGGATGTTAGATAAACGGTGATTAAAACAAAAAGTGATCTTTAATATATAGATATTTAATTGGATTTAGTATGCAATATTTAGAATCGTTATGCCTGTATCATGGTTCAGTGTCACATTACCAGTTTTTTCATTATACTGCACATAAAACTGTACTACAGTCCATCAGTGAATAAAAAAGGACTACTCTTACCTCTGCCTCTTCTTTCTTTTCTGGGTCTTGCGAGCAGTTGGTGGTCCATGTCGGGGTCTCTGGCTTAGCCACCACTGTTACTCTGGAGCAGTGCGGACACAACAAGGGCTACAAACGGCGCGACAACTGCTGCTTCAGCCCGACTTCACAGTGCTGCATGGAGGACGGCCCAGACTGTATACACTCAGTGCTGGACATGGAGGCAGTCTGCAAAAGGGTCAACAACACGGGCCTTGGCATCACTTTTTCTGTATCCAAGGATGCAGGAAGGTAAGAGGAGATATATAAAAAAGGTGGAGGAATACTCACATATACACAAACTCTCTTCATGACCAACATTCTCATATTATCTACAGCCAGGCATCTAAACCTCACTCTCATGCACTGTTCTGAATAAAACACAAGACCAGGTCTGACATGGACTTAATACGTATCGGTCTGTTCATCTTATTTGCAATATCATTTTTATTATAATCTCATGCTTTTTGTTTTTGCGGTGTAACTAGGTTTTAAGAAATATTAGTCAGTGAACGAAACTGTCTGACCAATGTTTCATCTCTCCTTTTTTTATTATTGAATAATTGAGAATGTGAAAGAGAATTTAGATAATTCTGAAGAATTAATAATAATTTGCAGAGTTTTGTTTTTGTTCTTTTCTGTTTGGTTAAGTACTGAAAGGATTTTGAATGTGATACAAACAACATAAATAAGTCGACTATCCATCCTTTGGTTTGCAGGTATCTGTGCGACTACACCTACTACACCTCTCTGCACCTGGGCCAGGGTCGCTCTGCCTTTATCCATGTGCCTCCACTGGGTAAACCGTACAGCAGTCAGGAGCTGGGCAGAGCTCTTCAGGCCGTCGTACAGGAGATGCTGAAACTTATGGAAGAAGATCCCAAACATGAAGAAGTCTGCAATCACGCACATCGACAGCAGCACGACCACTAACAACTGACTCACCACCTGAGAACACTATGGTGCTCTACACTGTGATAACAGTGCCAATAACAAGCCATCTGTTGTATCTCAAACATATTGAAGCTTTTACAAGGTTTGTGTTTAAAACAGGACCCTGACTACTGCATCTGTTCCTCATAGTCACGGTTTATGTCTTTGCATGTGTGGGTTTGAATGTGTGTGCAGGAGTAAATGCATCGGTGCTTGTTAGTCACATCTCTACATCTCTGCCTCTGATCTTCCAGAAGAGTGTGAAAACAGATGTCATCTTAACAACGATTCACCTTTTAATGTTGTATCATGTGGAAACAGGGATTTATGTGTCTATATCAACACACTAACAAGGAAACTACAGGTGATTAATGATGACACTAATCTCTGACTGCTTTCAAGAACTCCTCTTATAATGAGTCTCTTAAATCCTTTAAGTATGAGTTGATTGTTGTCCTGTAACTGTCATTTGTTGTTGTTTATTGTATTTGCACTGGAGATAAATGTACAATTGAGCATATCCTGAAGAAATTTAAATATTTACACATACAATTATTGTGTTCATCTCAGGGAATATATTGCACATGAAATCAATATTTAGTAATGTGATGAATTTAATGTGTCTGTCCTCTGTGTGAATTGCAGCTTTGCTAAGCTGCGTGTAATTAAAAAACAATGTAATACTTTTTTTTTGTCCTTGTCTTGAGTTAATTGTAGATAAAATATAAATTACTTTTAACTGTTTTTTATCGTGTGTTGGTGCTAAAAGGATGAATGCTATATAATTGAGGTTTCTCAATCGGCACGAGTTGCATCATCACTGACATTCTTTTTTCTACTTCCATTTGTTTCCCATGACTGTATAAAGTTATTTGAATGTTTCATATATAACACAATGTGTCTCATACTAATTTCTCTTTAAGACTTTTTACAATTTTAATCAAATAAAATAGAAACTTAATTCTGAACTCATCTGGGACAAAAAAACTGTAATAATGTGCATCAACCCGGTGGATTGTCCCTCCCAAATCGTGTGTGTGTGCTGTCTTATCTTCATGTTGAGACACATTTTGTATCTCTGTTCCCTGAAGGCTCTGAGAGAACACAATGTGCTATCTGTGCATCTTCAATATTATTCATCAGCCTCATCTTACAAAGGTCTGACTTTCCTAGATTAAATGTTTAGAGCCCATCTGTCACATATGTAGTCTGGATTAATAATACACATGCATGTCTTTACACACCTTCAGGTCTGAGTATACAGTATAGTACACCTGAGGTCTGTGTATTTTCATTATTTGGATTGGTAAAATATACATTTAAAAGGTAATAAGATTTAAATTCAATGTTCTTACCTGAGACAGTTAAACGCTGCATGTAACCTGCTTGCGAACTCACTGCTCTGTCAAGTGTGAAGTTTCAGTGAATTCAATCAAAGTTGATTAACTTTCACATTTTTTATGATGCAGAATGAGTGACAGAAACACTCTGTAATACATCATGATTCAACAGATCTGCTGAACTTGTTCTGACCTGACTGATCTGTGCAGGACAGAGTGAACTGATCATGATGTAGCCACAACAATAAAAAGGTACAACTGCTGCTTTTACACTAAATATCAAGGACTGCATTTATCTAATGTCAGAAGTTGGATCCTACGTTGTATTTACAAGTCAAATAAAAATAAAACTACTAAATGAAATATATTTAAATTCAACTTTTAATTTACAAGAACAATGTCCCTTAAATGCATAGACTGAATTCTCAGCAGAATAATCAAATTCTTCTTGAAATATGCCGATGTCCACTTGATAATAATAAGGTCTACATGCTTACTATACATAAATTGTAACGGTTCTCACAGCATACAACGGGAAAGTTGTTAATGTTCAATGTGGTGTGTTTTTTTTTTTATTACAGAAACATCCAGATTTGTCTTTTTTAAAAGGGGTTTGACAACTGTCCATAAAGCAGTTGAAAAAAAGCCAAACTGGAGAGAGCCTTCACAATTTGCAAAGCTCTGGTAGTATGCAGTTAAAATCCTCTTTTAAAAAGCCTTTGGGCAAAATGTCAAGATATCAGGTAGTAGGCCCAAGTCTGCATACAATTTCTTCTATAGTTGCTCAATCAACTGGATGGAAATAAAACTAGCTTGGCGATAGAGCTGTGGGAGGCTTGGGTGACACAGTTATTTCACTCTGCATTAGGTTCCAGGTTATTTGTCTGATTTTCTGAACTTTGTCATTGAAAAAGGATGCAGAGTCATAACATGTCTTTTTGGAATGCAGTTCAGGAGAGACTCGGGTTCAGGGGAATTTTCCTGGCTGCAAACAAGTTACATGCATTGTTGCACTGCTATTAATAGTTTCAGACAACAAAAGGCTCTCGTTTTCACGTTCAAGGTTATACAATTAAGACTTTCCTATTAGATCTCATAGGGCTCTGGAGTTGTTGTTTTTTTCGCAACCTCCCCTCCACCTTTCTCTTTTTGGGGGAATTTAACAGCACAGCATTCTGAATGACATTCAGAACATTGAAACAGAAATTATTAACAAGATCATCAACAGAGGCAGTAGGCAGAGCTGGTATGGGGTATAAAGGCCTAGGAAACATCATGATGGTCTGAAAGAGCAGTATCTTTTACCATAAACTCTGAGATTATAAAGCCCTTGGAGATAACTAACTCTGTAAACTTGTAATGTTATGAATTACTTACATATGTTTTTGATTGCTGTTGCAAGGACTTTTTTTTCAGGGGGGGTTGAACTTTCTAGAGAGCGCAGGTGTATAAGGAAAAACTTAAATGCCACAATCTAACTCCATAGGATGCAAAATTACAGGTGCATTCCATTTTTACACCTATAGGCCCATTTTTCTTATGATCACTGAGCCTTTGCGCTGCTTAATAAAATTAGAAAAAATATTCTAAATGTGTGGGGATGGGAAGCAAACTTGTGCTATCTGTGACTAAGCCTAACATATTCTGTTCCAAACTATTTTGATTAGAGAATAAGATTTATTACATTGTATGTGACCTTGTTGCATTATAAACCTCTGTGAGTTTTAATGGAACACCCTCGCCTCAGAAGTTTCTTACTTTAAAAATATTATCGCCTTGCCTCCTTCCCTACCATCGCTGTAGGAGACAAGTGGTAGTGAGGGAGCGAAGGAAACGAGCTGGTGGGGGGGAGAAAAATAGCGGAATGCAGCCACAGCTGAGGATATTTCTATCTCCCTCTCACCACCAGTGTTTGTCATTTTGTCATCAATACTCGGTCGCCGTAATTCATTTTTTCCCTTCTTAATAGCAACTGTTTGTGGGATAATCATCGGAGCTGGTGTAAACCGGTTATAAGAGGACAAAAACATGAGTGTCGAGGCGTACGGGCCGAGCTCACAGACTCTGACGTTCCTCGACACGGAGGAGACTGAGCTGCTGGGAGCGGACACCCAGGGCTCCGAGTACGACTTCACTGACTTTACACTGCCGAGCCAGACCCAGACACAAGGCCAAACCCAGAGCCAGCTGGAACACCAGGTACGTGTGGTTACCTGACACAGCTCGGTGTCAACAATGTCGCTTGTTCCGTGTTGACATAATGTGAATGTGCTAGCTGAGGTTAGCCAACAACAACACCACTGGCTACCTCCGGTTAGCATGATGACGCCCTCCATCCGTTACCACGCGTTTATCATCCCGCTGATTAGCATGCTAGTTCACACCGTGACAGCTCTGTTAGCTCCCTGGTAATGCGAGCTGGCCTGTCAGTACAGGAGCTTATTGCCATTCAAAACAAGAGTGAAAGGGAATGGTGGTGTGGCAAAACTGGTCTAAAATGAGGTTTTAAACCGCGTATATACCGTATAGTGACAGCAGTCACAGCGTTCAGGAGATACAGATGGATACAGATAGATATAGTCAGATACAGATAGATACAGTCAGATACAGATGGATATAGTCAGATACAGATAGATACAGATAGATACAGATAGATATAGTCAGATACAGTCAGATACAGATAGATACAGTGAGATACAGATAGATACAGATAGATATAGTCAGATACAGTCAGATACAGATAGATACAGTCAGATACAGATGGATATAGTCAGATACAGTCAGATACAGATAGATACAGTCAGATACAGATGGGTATAGTCAGATACAGTCAGATACAGATAGATACAGTCAGATACAGATAGATATAGTCAGATACAGATAGATATAGTCAGATACAGATGGATACAGTCAGATACAGATGGATATAGTCAGATACAGATGGATACAGTCAGATACAGATGGATATAGTCAGATACAGATGGATACAGTCAGATACAGATGGATATAGTCAGATACAGATGGATATAGTCAGATACAGATAGATACAGATGGATACAGTCAGATACAGATGGATATAGTCAGATACAGATGGATACAGTCAGATACAGATAGATACAGTCAGATACAGATGGATACAGATAGATATAGTCAGATACAGATAGATACAGTCAGATACAGATGGATATAGTCAGATACAGATAGATACAGATAGATACAGATAGATATAGTCAGATACAGTCAGATACAGATAGATACAGTGAGATACAGATAGATACAGATAGATATAGTCAGATACAGTCAGATACAGATAGATACAGTCAGATACAGATGGATATAGTCAGATACAGTCAGATACAGATAGATACAGTCAGATACAGATGGGTATAGTCAGATACAGTCAGATACAGATAGATACAGTCAGATACAGATAGATATAGTCAGATACAGATAGATATAGTCAGATACAGATGATACAGTCAGATACAGATGGATATAGTCAGATACAGATGGATACAGTCAGATACAGATGGATATAGTCAGATACAGATGGATACAGTCAGATACAGATGGATATAGTCAGATACAGATGGATATAGTCAGATACAGATAGATACAGATGGATACAGTCAGATACAGATGGATATAGTCAGATACAGATGATACAGTCAGATACAGATAGATATAGTCAGATACAGATAGATATAGTCAGATACAGTCAGATACAGATAGATATAGTCAGATACAGATAGATATAGTCAGATACAGATGGATACAGTCAGAAACAGATAGATATAGTCAGATACAGATGGATACAGTCAGATACAGATAGATATAGTCAGATACAGATAGATATAGTCAGATACAGATAGATATAGTCAGATACAAATAGATATAGTCAGATACAGATAGATACAGATAGATATAGTCAGATACAGATAGATATAGTCAGATACAGTCAGATACAGATAGATATAGTCAGATACAGATAGATATAGTCAGATACAGATAGATATAGTCAGATACAGTCAGCCTATAGCTGTCAACAAATCTTTTGTTGACGTGATAGTCAGCAATTAAAATAAAAGACCTGATTTGGTTGTTAGTCCAGGTTTTTTTTAATATTGATTCACTCTCTGTGGTCCTTAAATAAAACACATTGTTGACATGTTGATTGTTTACACTCCTCAGGTCAATGGTCCTGACGGCCTGCTTCAGAATGGAGACGACCCGATGCTTAAAGCCAGTCAGCTGCTGGCTGAGCTGAATTTTGAAGAGGATGAAGAGGACACCTATTACACAAAGGATCTACCTTTACATGCCTGCAGGTAAACGACTGGACTGTTTTGTTAATCAAAAAGGCTTAAAAAGGTTTATATTTGTTTACTGCTAGTGTCTGTTTGCAGTGTTTAAACCTTAATTTTGATATAACTATCAAATGCCTATTTCTTTACACTCAAGTCTCAGTGAAATTACTTCTATGTGTATTTTTGTTGACCTTTATTTTTGAAATTGTTTTTAAAAATAATTTATAGTAGGCTATATAACTGGTGCTTAGCTGTTAAAAAATTACAACTAATTTACTACTTCTTAAAAGCCATACCAAAAATTGTTAGAATTATACAAGATAAAAGCAGATACTTTTTCCAAATTTCTTTTTTTTTTAAAGATTATTTTTTGTGTTTTTTGTGCCTTGAGAGATAGGACAGTGGATAGAGTCGGAAATTAGGGAGAGAGAGAGGGGGGAATGAAATGCGAGAAAGGAGCCACAGGCTGGATTCGAACCCGGGCCGCTCGCTTGGAAGACTATAGCCTCCATACATGGGGTGCACGCACTAACCACTGCACCACCAGCTCCCCCTTTTTGGGCAACACCTTCCTCTCCACTGACACTCACACGATTCTGATAAATTGTTATATATGCCAAATCATCAGAATATTTTGTGTCATATCTAATGCCAGCAATGGTTAATCACTTGCTTTTTTTCATTACTCTTGTCTCACTCACAGCTTGTTTGCTTTCTGACCAACAAGTTAGTCATCAGGTACAACTTAAGCTGAGCCAAAAAGTGTTCCGCAATTTCAGCAGTTCAGTAGCAACTCAGTAACATTTCAAATGCTTTTCCCATTTTTAGGTATGAAGAACGATTCATTATATTTTGACGAGCTTTGGGATCAAGGAAGAAGCTTATTTAAAAAAAGAATCTGGGTAGAGAAGATTATTTTCTTAAGAAATAAAATTTTGTTCAGAAGCTGTCATATTGTCACAAGACTGTCAGATTGGTGAACAGCTTACTTTAACGTCAAAGACTTAACTAAGTAAGATTTACGAGGTGCATCCTAGTGTTGAGTATATATACTTTAAAAATATTGCCCATTATTCTAAGTTCTAATCTTCTTTATACAACCTGTAACATGAATAAACAATTTTGATAATACTCATTTTTCTAGAATAATAGAACATGGAAAGGTTATTAAAGCTGGATGATAAAGATAATGAAACTTTCTTATTGACATACTCGTAAAGACAACTTTTTATTAAAAGTTTTTATTTTAGTGGCATAATTAGTAAAGCAAGCATTAGTACAGCCAGAAATACATTTGTGTCAAACAAATATAAATGTAGTCTTATGTTTTTTCACCCTCATTTTCTGTCTTTTTTTCTGTTTTAGTTACTGTGGGATTCATGATCCAGCCTGCGTGGTTTACTGCAACACCAGCAAAAAGTGGTTTTGTAATGGCCGTGGAAACACATCCGGCAGGTAAGATGCAGGGACTTACCAGTTTTTTTATTGACCCACCGAGTTAAAGTACTGAGCTGAAGGACCTAAGAGAGAATCATTGACCTGGATCAATTTCATGATAGCAGGAATGCATTATTCAGAGACTGTAATAATGATCGTTTGTTGTGCTCAGAAGAGTCTGACGTACATGGTGTGTGCTTATGGAGTTAGAAACACAATATAAAAGAATAACGTTCACTTACTTTAAAGGGCCAATAACGCCAGAATTATGTGGTTTAAGCAATTTTGTATGAAGAATGTTTAGTTTTTAATAACGTCTTGTGTTTCTTTAACATATATTTTTGAAAACTGACACTCTAATAAATCCCCCCAAAAATGACAAGATGCTCTATAATGTATTAAAACCTAAAGGGAACACTGCTTATCATAATTTACATTATATATTTTTGTCTTTGTACTTTTATGATATGAACCTTAAGTTACGACGTGACACTCTGCTTAACTTTCATTCGCTATATGATAGGCCTTTTCTTTCTTAATTTAAAGCTGTATCAGAAACACTTTTTTGGAAAAAATATCAAAACCCCATCCCTATTTGCTTTACAAGTGCAGCTGATGACTGCATTTTCTTTTGGATCATCAGTTTAAAATAATTTCTCAGTTAATCCAGACTGTATTAGTCTTGAATTCTTTTGCTTAAAATGTCATTGTCTTCCCTTTCAGCCATATTGTAAACCACCTGGTGAGAGCGAAGTCCAAGGAGGTGACCCTGCATAAAGATGGCCCTCTGGGGGAAACGGTACTTGAGTGCTACAACTGCGGCTGTCGCAACGTCTTCCTCCTGGGCTTCATCCCTGCCAAAGCTGACTCAGTAGTGGTGTTACTGTGCAGGTAAAGGGGGCTTTAAGTAGCTCGCCATGCTGTCCGACCTTCCTGCAAAGAGGAGTAAATTGTGGGAAATCCTGAACTTGACAGTTAATTTTGGCCATATTTGTTTTTGTTGTAACTTAGGCAGCCATGTGCCAGCCAGAGCAGCCTGAAGGACATCAACTGGGACAGCTCACAGTGGCAGCCGCTTATCCAAGACCGCTGCTTCCTGTCATGGCTTGTCAAAATCCCTTCAGAGCAGGAGCAGCTCCGGGCTCGTCAAATCACCGCCCAGCAGATCAACAAGCTGGAGGAGCTCTGGAAGGTACTGTCAATGCAACTCTCCATGCACACTCCCATCATTGTTCTATGTAAATATTCCAAACCCACATAACAGGAACTGGAACAAGGGTAGGGCTTATCTATGAAGGTAAGATATTATTTGTACAGTGGGTTGATAGCTATTCTCCTCAGCTATTTTTTCTCTTCACTATCAATTTCACTTCTTCATTCAGGCCTGGGTTTCACATTGTTTCAGTTTCTTGTCATATGCCAGGCCACATTGACTGTGCTCGGCAGTTAATCTGAGTACTTGCCTGACATTGTTCTCAGATAACTTTTTAAAGCAAACATTTTGACTTGTCATATAAGAGGAAACTGATTATTACCAGTCACATGAATGATGTAATAACTGTGTGACCTTATAATTTACACCTTTACCTGCTAAATGTCGTTTGTGAAGAAGGCCTAATGTCTGAGTTTCTCCAAGTGCTAGATTTGAGCAAATAAATGGAAATGACTTAGAGCACTTTAGTTTTATTCTCTATACATATTTGAAACGCATCCCATCCTCCTGCGTGATTGTTTGTATTTTTATTTCATCTTGGTAGGAAAATCCCACTGCCACTTTGGAGGACCTGGAGAAGCCCGGTGTGGACGAAGAGCCCCAACATGTGCTGCTTCGCTACGAGGATGCCTACCAGTACCAGAACATCTTTGGTCCTCTGGTCAAGCTGGAGGCTGACTATGATAAGAAACTCAAAGAGTCCCAGGTAAAGATATGATGTGATCATGTTGCAACTAACAAGGCTGTCAAAATGTTTATTGAGTAATTTTATGTTTTGCTTAATAAAAAAAAAGAAATGGAAGCTGTGACCATTAAGTGTGCATTTCACTTCATTTTGTCTCTGGTAATATTTAGATTTTAACTTTTGTTTTCTCTTTTGATCTTTAAACGTTGCTTCCTAACAGACTCAAGACAACATTACAGTCAGATGGGATTTGGGCCTGAATAAAAAGAGGATTGCTTATTTTACTATTCCCAAGACGGATTCTGGTATTTACTCTTAGTTCTTCCTCACTTGTATCATTATCATGCTTTTTCTGTAAGTGATCATTTGATGTTGTCCTGATCACACTGAGAGACATTACATACTTTATTAACATTCAATTGTCATGTAACTATTTTATCTGTGACTTTGAACTTGCATTGAGGTTAAAAATTGGGTTTTTATTATCTATTACTATGTTTGTATGGGTTCCTCTTGTTGTCCCCTTAATTAACAGTGATATTTTTTTGTCAATCTTTCCTGCTTTCCACTAGACATGCGACTGATGCAGGGAGATGAAATTTGCCTGAGGTACAAAGGAGACCTGGCCCCTCCATGGAAAGGCATTGGGCATGTCATCAAAGTCCCTGATAGTATCCTTATCATTGCATTGTATGGACGCAGTATTCATCATAAGGATTTATTTTACCTCCATCATTTGGAAAAAGTTAGGCTTCCCTTAGACATAGTGTCAGTAAACTTAGTCCACAATAACCTCTAGTGGCAGCTGTAAGAAACTACATCTGTATACTTGTGTCTTTATCTGAAATCCGCATTGGCTTTTGGAAACACATTTTATATTTTTGATTTAGTTTTTACAGTTTCTACAATTGTTAAGAGATTAGATATGATAACATCAGTACATTACTAGGGTTAATGCGTCATTGGCGATGTAACTGAGAATTTTCAAAAATATAAACTGCAGTATGTGATCAAAGGTTGTACCGCCTCCTTGACTTTCTGTACCAGACTATGGTGATGAGATCGCCATAGAGCTGAGGAGCAGTGCGGGGGCTCCAGTGGAGATCCCTCACAACTTTCAGGTCGACTTTGTGTGGAAATCCACTTCCTTTGACAGGTATTCACAATCAGAATCACACATACAAGGTATTTGTATTGGTGCAAAAAACAGTTAACAAAGAAAATAAAGCAAAAATAGCAAGAACTTAAATAATAAAACATGGAAGCAATTACAGTGTATAATATACAATTTAAAAATGTAAAAATATAAGAAACGCAAAATGTACAATGAAGGATCTTTGCAGTTGACAATGAAACAAGTCTTATAGTGTATATAAATCTACTCACAGAGTGCATATAAGAAAATAATTTTTTTGTGTGTGTTAATGTAACACAAAAACAATTCTAGCCTCTACTTGCTGTGATGTTTTCTGACGGGCTGATGAGAGTCTGTTCTTATGTGGGGGGAGGGCAGGACATTGTTCATGAGGCTGACAGCAGAGGGAAGAGACTGTTCTTTGGTGAGAGGTTTGGTCTTGATAGACGCAGTGGCCACACTTAAGGCCACTCACTTGTTTTGTCTCTTGCTGCGATATTTGTAATCAAATGATGTAACTCAGCTTTATGGTGAGGTACAATAAGCTCACCTTTAGTTGTAAAGTAAAGTTTCCATATCTGAAGCTAAGTCATACTCTGTGAGCAAAACCCCTCTAAAAGAAAATGAAAACATTAAAGTTGTCAGTACCCTCCTCATCAGAGCAATATCATGCAAATTTTCCACTCAATGTTCGACTATTTTAAGCCCTGGTTTAAATACCCTCTGTAAATATTTCTGTCTTCATTATCCAGGATGCAGAGCGCCCTGAAGACCTTTGCTGTGGATGAGACTTCAGTGTCTGGTTACATCTACCACAAACTGCTGGGACGAGTAGAGGATGTGGTCATCAAGTGCCAACTGCCAAAACGCTTCACTGCTCAGGGCCTGCCTGACCTTAACCACTCTCAGGTGAGCTAGAGAAATGCAAGGGGAGGGGAACTAGTGTCAATGACTGACTTTTTAAATATGAAAAAAAAAAAAACGATCATTTTTATTTAAGTGTTCACTCATATCTGAAAAACACTGAACACTTCACTCTAGTGGCATCTTTGTCCATGGGAGTGTTTTTTTTTGTTTTTTCTTTAAGATTGATTTTTTTGGCGTTTTAAGCCTCC